GAATCACATTCTTCTAAGGTCAATATCAAAATGAGGATATTTCTCTCGGACAGATGAGAGCTCCGATCCCTACACAGCAGGGGCGTAGCCAGGATTTTGAAAGGGGGGGGTAGCCGTTATGCGAATTATGTATGACCCCGGAGGGGTCCGGGGGGCGAATTCCCCTGTGAAGTAGCGCAATCTGAACGTTCTTAGGACTGTTTTGAGAGGATAAAGTGAAAATTGCAATATAAATTGCATTATAAATAAGTGCAACAGTAATTATATAATAAATCAACAACCTGATCCAGGAATTCGAAAGAGAGGTGAACCAGGGAGGGACTTTCACAGACCAAGGAAACACCCACCTCGGCCCCACCGTGGTTGGGATTGAGGTTAAACAATTTAGGATTACGGCATCTCTAGATGGCCGGAAATTACACTCTCACACTTAAATTTGAATATATTTTTCTTTTTTTTTCCCTTAAAAAATTAAGGGAGGGGGATGGCAGGCCTTGAATCCACCTCTGCTCAAAACATTCTTTATCCAGAATAGTCATAATCACGAAAGATTTACATGAAAAACAAGATCACATCCTAAAAACATGTCACTAAGACATACATCAGGAGCCGACTCTAGGGTTTAATGTCATACCCAGGGAAGGGCACAGATCTGTTTTAAAAGGTGGTGGGGGAGGACATCTTGCAAGTCAACACCACCTCAGGCCCACCATGGTTGGAGCTGAGTTGAGAAAATTTGAGGAAATAGTACCTCTAGATCGACGTTCCGCAAACTATGGTCCGTGGCCCAAATTTGGCCGGGAAACATTTTTAGAGGGCCGCGAAGCCGTCTGAAAATTGAAAAAAAAATAACAAAGAGACGTTTTATCATGGAGAAAATAGTTTTTAATAAAGCTGCTTCACTGTTACAGCGAATGAGCTACTTGCACATGCTGCTAAAGTGCCACATAATGCGTGCTATTTGAATTATAAGCGGTTTTGTGTCTATGCCCACTCGGGAGCCTTTACCTGTATATTTGTTCCTGATAGTGCTAGTATGCAACATTATTTTCTATAAATAAATATACTGTAAATATACCTTTTTTAAGCATTAAATACATGTCAAGCGCGGATCCAGAGTTTACCCTGGCTATCGCACAGATGGGTTCCCGTATTGGGAGAGTCATGAGTAAGAGAGCTGGCTTGTTTTGTCACTGGAAGATAAATTTTAGATATTCGAAATGTTTTTGTTTTTTAGATTTTTTATAATACACTTCGTGCATTATGAAACGTCTATTATTGAATACTCTGAATTCATATTTTTTCACTACTTTGCTATGGACAATTAATAATTATGATGATGAAGAAGATGATGATGATGAGGAGGAAGCTGTGCAAGATTAATTAACAGGCCCTTTGATGTGAAGTGTCAAGCGAGGCCGGTAGCCTAAGTTACAGTTGGGAATTTGGAGACATTATCGTTGTCGTCAAATGTTCAATGTACACAGCCCCACAATAGATGATTTATGGTATCTGTTTTGTATAGTAATCTGAAACCCATACAATATCAGTTCAGGTATTCATTTATCTGTCTGTGGAAAATATAACATATGGACCATACAAAATAAAAAGAATTCAAATAAAATTTAAAATATGTAAAAAAAGATCTACACTATTAATCAAAATGAAATATTCACTGCCTGTTGCATCTCAGTTTTAGTATTGCAGGGGTTCTGAAGGCTTTACAGTATAACCAATCCCTGTATTTCTGATACATTGCTGATTAAAATGTAAAATATTTAAGATTTTATATTCAGTACATTCTCAAATGTTATATATCCCAAAATTATGTTATATTCATGCACCGAAGTAGAAAGTTTAACTTAATAATTTTGATATGTTTTATGTTGAATGGTTTTTAATATTATTAGTCTAATATGACCACAACATAAGGAAACCCTCTCCTTTAAACTTCTAACATACTAAACTTTGCGTATCTCAATATACATTATTATATATATTCTTAAATCAAGAAAGTCCACTCGTAAAAATTAGTATATAGTATATACTATAGAGAATTTTGTCTGTCAATCTCAGATATCCAAATATTAGGAAATCGTTTTATGCATGCACCGACATGAGAACTTTAACCCAATAAATTTGATATGTATATGTTTTATGTTGTTTGTTGAATGGACTTCTTTAATAATAATATTACAGTCTAATATGACCATAACATATTAAAGGAAGTCCATTCTGTAAATGTTTAGCATAATATTGTACACAGAATTTTGATTGTTTATCAATATCATCATGTTAGATCCAAATCACGTTTTATGCAAGCATCGACAAGGAAAGATTAAACATAATAATTTTGTGTAAATATAAATTGTAAATATAATGTAAATATAAAATAACGTACATGTTTTATGTTATGTGTTAATAATATTACAGTTTAATGGCTTAATGTTAATAATATTACAGTTTAATGGTTTACAATAATATTACAGCTTATTGGCCCCGGAAACTTGAACCCCGACCTGGGGCCCTTGGCGACCCCCCCTAGCCCCAATCATCAGTGCTCGCGCTTCGCTTGCAACCTGACCATTTCATTTCTTGTGGCTACAGCTCTGCTATGACGTGTGTGACTGAACCGTGTTTGGTTGAATCATGGTAGAAAGAAATAACAATCAACAATTGTCGGAGGGTGGGGGGTGAGGAAACACAAATGTACGGTATTATTTATTTAATAAAATAATATTTAATTTGTATACAATAAAATCTTATCACTTAGAGAACAGACAATGATATCAAAATATTGTATATACATGGAGGCTTCATGAACAAAAGTTCATGCCAGGATTTGGCATGTTGGTCCCTGGCGCGGCTGGGCTGCTGGGCCGCGGCTTGGTGCCTGGAATCATAAATAAGCTGTGAAGTAAAAAGTTTGCGAAACGCTGATCTACTTAATATCCAGGACAACTTAGGCCGAACTATGTTACTAAGCTTTAACTCTACTATAATAATTATGATCAACAAATCACAAGTTTTTTTCGCATTTAGCACAATTATCTTCACTTTTTATTTAATATTATTATCAATTATTACTATCGTCATCATTATCATCATGATGATGATCATCATCATTGTTATTATTATTTTTACTATTAGTATTAGTATTATTAAACAAAACTTGCAAAAGTATAAAAACAAAACTGAACCATACAGTATTGCATTTATATATCTTAAAAAAGATATTTATTTTAAGATATATTTATTTTATTTATGGATTTAAGATTATGTGTTCTATTAGGCCTATGTATCTGTCTCTTATACACATCTAGATGTGTATAAGAGACAGGATCTACACTATTAATCAAAATGAA